AAAAAAAAAAAAAAAAAAACACACATTTCCTCATAACAACAAATTCATTTGTTATTATATTCCGTAATCAACAACTCACAATAAAACGGGGAAAAAAAGTCTTAAAAATGACAAAACTTCCACTAATTTTTATATATAACACACACTTTAAAGTCTAAACCATGAAACCATCTGCAAATACCCATCGTTAAAAATGGGCACATAAAATAATAAAATAATAACACGGATAACAATATAACATGGTGGGCCCGGCGGCGTCAACATGCTTTCCCCACCCATCATTATATAAAACCATTTTCCACCACCACCAGGTCCACCACTCCTCCACCGCCGTTGGCCGTTTTTCTCCACCGCACATGTAGAAATCGGATCAACATTCCCATCCAACCGTTCAAAAACCAGGCAAAGATAATGTTTCAGGCGAAGATAATGTTTCTTCATCCGTAAATTCGACAAAGTTAAGGGAGACGATTTGTTCACCATGGCTTCGATCCAAGGAGGAGGTACGTTTTTTCCTTTTTTTTCCGATTAAATCGCCGATCTGTGTGTTTTTCCAGCGTATGTTTTCCGATCCACCAACTGAATCGCAATTTGTGGTGGCTTTGTTGTTGAGCAGGCGAGAGAGATCTCGAGATGGGCGTGAGCATCGAGCCGCCGTCGCCTTCCCCGTCGCCGTCTCCGCGCGCGCCGGCTTTAGTGGTTTCGAACTCGAACAAATCGCTGGCGTCCTCGAACTCCGGCAAGGCCCTGGTGGTGTCGACCTCCGGGAAGGCCCTGGTGGTCTCCAACTCCGGCAAGAGGATCGACCAGTCGGGGAAGAAGAAGTACGTGAAGCAGGTGACGGGACGGCACAACGACACGGAGCTCCACCTGGCGGCGCAGAAGGGCGACGTGGCCGCCGTGCGGCAGATATTAGGGGAAATCAACGAGCAGATGCTTCAGACCTTGAGAGGATCGGATTTCGATGCCGAGGTTGCCGAAATTAGGGCAGCTGTCGTGAACGAGGTGAACGAGTTGGGAGAGACCGCCCTTTTCACGGCAGCAGAGAAAGGGTTCATTGATGTGGTGAAGGAGCTGTTGCCTTACACCACGAAAGAAGGGATAAGGTCCAAGAACAAGTCCGGTTTCGACCCGCTGCATATTGCCGCCAGTCGAGGCCATCAGGGTAATTGAATCGATTTATCTGCTAGCTTCAAGGGTTTTCAGATTCTAAATGTTACATGGAGGAGTTAACCTTATCAATCGTTTCGTATTTGCTTATGCGTCTTGTGCCTCCATTTGCAAGTGAGTAATAATCATATGTGGGGATTGAGGGGAAAAAAGAAGTTAGCTAGGTGATTCTGCTTAATACTGGCATATTGCCGGCCAGTCAAGGCAATCAGTTTAATTGTACCTGTTTATCTCCTAGCTTCAAGGTTTCTGATTTTGATATATTACATGGAGTTTGCCTTATCAATCGTTTCATATTTTGCTTATGCAACTTGTGCCTCTTTCTGCAAGTGAGTAATAATATGTGTGGATTGAGGGAAAACAAAGTTTAGTTGTGTTTTTTAGGCTAGTAGGTGATTTTGCTTAATACCGGGGCATACTTAGCTAGCTGATGATTTTTGGTTAAGTTTGATGGCCATCAAATTGTTGCCGAATGGCTTTATGATCTTGACGCATTTTTTTATGAGCTGATATTTGTTTTGGATGTTAGCGTATATTTAAGATCAGATTCTTGATTTAGCATTCCTTATCACCAAAATGTTATTAGGTGATTCTGCTGAATATGTGGGGATTGAGGGAAACTAATAATATGTGGGGATTAAGGGAAAATGAAGTTTCGTTCTTTTTTTTAGGCTAGTAGGCGATTCTGCGTAATACCGGGCAATAAATAGCTAGCTGATGATTTCTGTTTAAGTGTTGCCGAATGGCCTATGATCATGACTCGTTTTTTATCAGCTGAGATTTTTTTTTTTAAAACTATAGCATATATTTAGGATCAGATTCTTGATTAGCATTCCTTATCAACCTAAATGCGACATATGTATGAATGAGTAGATTAAAGTTATTTTCTTTTTGTTTCTGTAGAAATTGTCGAGATACTGTTAGAGCATGACCCAGGGCTAAGCAAAACAGTTGGCCAATCAAACGCGACCCCTCTCATATCTGCAGCCACAAAAGGACACCTGGCAGTTGTCAATGTATTGCTTGCCAAAGACCCGAGCCTGCTCGAGATACCGAGATCCAACGGTAAAAACGCGCTGCATTTATCTGCCCGGCAGGGCCACGCTGACATCGTAAAAACACTGCTCGAGAAGGATCCTCAGCTGGCCAGAAGAATGGACAAGAAAGGCCAAACGGCTCTCCACATGGCTGTCAAGGGTGTTAATTGTGCGGTGGTGAAGTTGCTTCTGCAAGCAGATGCTGCCATTGTGATGCTCCCGGACAAATTCGGCAACACTGCTTTACACATAGCTACAAGGAAAAAGCGTTTCGAGGTATGTTGTGTTATTATTGGGCTCCCATTTATGAGAATTCTCCATCATCTGATATGTTTGTTTCTTAGCAAGTCTGTTAACAACTTCCTTTTTGCTAAAAATCACGTTATGACTGGCCTTCAGCTAGCTATACCTGATTGTGTTCTAGGCACCAACATATTAATGAACTCAACTCGTGTGTCAAATAAAACTAAACTCTTAACATAAAAAGTAGTTTAAAAAAGATTCAAAAGAACACACTACAACAAAAGTAAGTTAACAAAAACCTTAAAAGAAGGAATACCAAGAGAAACTAAAAAAACTTAAAATCCCCAAAAAACTAAAAAAATGTTGCCCTAAAATTCTGAAAACCCATAAACCAAAAATGTTGAGTTTTTTTGGTTTTGGCTCACCAGATATTTTTTTTTACACCTTTTTAACTCAAAATCAAATCCATCTTTATTTAACTTAACTCTCCTCATATTATTAATATAATTAAATAATATGCTATCAATCATTCTCACACATTTCTTCAAACTTTAATTCAATATCCCACTCACATATAGTTAACTATCAATCGTTTCAAATAACATTTCTTACTTTTACATCACATCGACTTTAATCATTGCATTTTAAATATTTAAAAAAATACATGCCCAAAACCCACCCAGTCATCCACTCAATCATTTTTTTTTTTAAAAAAAATTAACTTCTTTTCTCCAATAAATTCAAAATAAATCCAATCAAAACCTTTCAGATCGTGAACGAGCTCCTCATGCTACGCGACACCAACGTGAATGCCCTGAACCGCGACCACAAGACGGCCCTCGACATCGCCGAGTCCCTCCCCTTATCCGAAGAAATCGTCGACATCAAGGAATGCCTCACCCGCTACGGCGCCGTCCGTGCTAACGAGCTCAACCAACCGCGCGACGAGCTCCGCAAGACGGTCTCCGAGATCAAGAAAGATGTCCACACCCAACTCGAGCAAGCCCGCAAGACGAACCGCAACGTGAACGGCATTGCCAAGGAGCTCCGCAAGCTCCACCGCGAGGGCATCAACAATGCCACCAACTCCGTCACGGTCGTGGCCGTCCTCTTTGCTACCGTGGCATTCGCCGCCATCTTCACCGTACCGGGCGGGGACGACGACCACGGTGTGGCCGTTGTGGTCCACACCTCGCCGTTTAAAGTCTTCTTCATCTCGAACGCGGTGGCGCTCTTCACCTCACTAGCAGTCGTGGTGGTGCAAATCACGGTTGTTCGGGGGGAGATAAGGTCCGAGAGGCGGGTCGTGGAGGTGATAAACAAATTGATGTGGCTTGCGTCGGTTTGCACGACGGTGGCGTTCGTGTCGTCGTCGTATATAGTGGTGGGGAGGCACAACCGATGGGCGGCGGTGCTGGTGACGGTGATCGGTGGGGTGACGATGGCGGGGGTCTTGAGCGCGATGACGTATTACGTGGTGAAGTCAAGGAGGATAAGGAGGGTTAGGAAGAGGGAGAAGTTCTCGAGAAGTGGGGGGAGCTCGTGGCACCACTCGGACACGGATTCCGAGGTGAATCCTATATATGCCATATGAATGAATGTGTGGAAGGATTTTTTTTATCGATTATTCTCTTTGGAGGAGGGGCCGTGTTGCGGACTTGCGGTTGGTTCCAAGGATCTCCAGGACTTTATTTTATGTGGTGTAGCGTGTAAAGAACGAACTCCGGTTGTTGTTTTTCTGGTAATGGGATCTGAGGTTGTAGGGGAAGCAGTTGAATGAAATTGTTTGTTCAAAAGGCTCTCTGGGACTCTATTTTATGTGGTGTATAAAGAACGAATTCCGGTGTACGGCCGAATTCTGGTTATGTGTTGTTTTTTTCTCGGTAACGGGATCTGAATTTTTACGGGAAGCTGATGAATGAAAATGTTGTTGTACTTGTCTCGGGTTTCTGTTAGCTGGAAAAAAAAAATATTGTTCTTCCTGTTGATTATGAATGGCTTTAGAAAAATGCTGTTCTGTTTTAGTTGATGTTGTTGTTGCTTCGTTATTTGATTAGTTTTATTTGTTTTTTCGGTTGGAAAATTGTTGTCTTTGTCGTGTTAATTCGTTCACCTTCACATACTCTGCAGTCAATTTAGTCTACTCGTTTTGGGGGAGAAAGATGAAGTATGTAAGAAACTGGGGGAAAACGAGTGCGGTCCCACTAACATGAAGCGTACCATGAGAAGGGAAAAACCCATATGAACCCCAACGGGGTTCCATCCCAAAACCAATTGGTGGAAGGAGGAGTAGCTCATTAGACTTATAAGGTGGGTCTATTTTCCATGTATGAACGATGTGGGACAACTCACAAGTGATATTCTAACAAAGTACAAAGCGAAAAGGGTGAAAGGTAAAAGGAAAAGATAAACGGTAAAGGGAAATGTAAACTTTACCTTTCCCTTCTCCATTCTCTTTTACATTACATGTTTATGTTTATAACGAAGGATGCCTCTTTTTAATCTAAGTTAACAAACAAACACTGACCGAATCATTCTGTCAATGGACTGTAGTCATTTCCTTTAGTTTGTGGACAACCGATAGTTATACATATTAGTATCATGGACTGTAGTCGTTTCCATTAGTTTGTGGCAACCGATAGTTATACATATTAATGTCACACTACGATATGACTCTTTTAGTTTCTGGACAATCGACAAATATACATATTAATGTCACATATTAACCGATAGTTATACATATTAGTATCATGTTTATGTTTATAACGAAGGATGCCTCTTTTTAATCTAAAATAACAAACACTGACCGAATCATTCTGTCAATGGACTGTAGTCATTTCCTTTAGTTTGTGGACAACCGATAGATATACATATTAATGTCACACTCTAGGGAATTACGATATGACTCTTTTAGTTTATGGACGACCGACAAATATACATATTAATGTCACACTTTAAGGAATCACGATATAAACAGAAGTATGATTTTTAGTAATACAAGTATGATTAGTAGTCGACCAATTCAATGGTCGGACTAACTCATTCAAGAATTTGGTTATTAACCAAATGGCAAGACACGTATGTAACAACGATTGATGTGTGAATTACAAAATTCTTATTATGCCAAGGCAATTGAACTCTTTTCGAGTACAATCACGATTGAACAAAAACAGTCAATACGCGCTGTGCAAGAACCCCACCATTTGATACCAAAACATTATTAAACTACAAGAAGCTGTCCTTTTTACATGACTCATCTTGTCCAACTGTTATACACTACAATACAATTTTGGTGTCAAATGGTAGGCTAATCTATTTAAAATCTTGTGGCCCACCCCACGAGGGGTAAAACCCCACCATTTTAGCAGGCGGGCTTGACCTTGACTTGCTCCTTAGTTTACTTTTGGAGTCAACCATTTGTTTTCGTATAATAGTTTTATTTATAATTGATTCTTGGTTGATCAACTTGGCATAAACAGTTGAACAATTGGTTTTTTTTAACTTGAGTGGTTAACAATTACACATCTAGTGGATTTGATTTTATGTTTCTGTGAAAATTTCAAGTCGATTATCTAGCAAATTCGTGTTATCAGGGGTGAAATCATAAAATTAGTTGCGAGGAGACAAAAGACATGACATAATGGGTTCTGAACCGATACCGAACTGATAACATTTTGGTAACCGATTTTTGGTTACCGTTACACATAAGTTAATTCGGTTTCGGTTTATTTTATATAAGTGATTCTTGGTTGATCAACTTGGCATAAACAATTGCACAATTGGTATTTTTAACTTGAGTGGTTAACAATTACACATCTAGTGGATTTGATTCTATGTCTCTCAAGGATAGTGAAAATTTCAAGTCGATTATCAGGCACATTCGTGTTACATTTCAGATTAATCTACTAAACGTATGAAATTTTAAATGAGTTATCTTGCAAATTCGTGTTACGCCTCAGATTAACCTACAAAACGTATTATAATGGGGCGTTCGTTGTGAATACTCCGATGTTCAATTCAACAATTGGAATAAAGTGACTGAACTTCGATTTAGTCATCATAGCAATCTGTCAAAGTAAAAAACATGAATCAAGATTTCATATTTATACGGATTAATATTTGTTATATATCCAACAGAAAGGTTTTTTTTTTTTTTAATTAAAGAAAAATAATCAAACTCAAATTTAATTAAAGAAAAATAATCAAACTGAAATTCCCCTATATGGCCATTTTCAAATTTTTTTGATTTTTTTTTTTTTCGTTAGAACGAACCAAGTCGAATTCACAATTAGTTCCCTCTCATTCAACAACCCTAATAATAATAATAATATTATTATTAGGAGGCCATGCTTAACTGTCATACAACTACAATTCTTTAGTAAATATTCATCTTTTTTAGCTAGACCATCTCATTAGACATGACTGTGGGTCGGCCCGGCCCGCGAACCGGCATCGGCTCGGAATCGCGCAGGCCTGTGAACCGGACCGTGCCCATGTAGTTCGGTCTCGGTTCTCTCCTTTTCTTTTATCGGCCGGGTCGTGCCGGTTCCAATTTTTTCGACGGGTCATAGTTGTTTTTTTCTTACTTTTAACCCGGCGGAACCGCCGGGCCGGGCCGATTTAAATGAACTGGCCCATAGGAATTACAGGGCCGGTTAGTCGACTCGACGGGCCAGGCCGGGCCCGGACCTTGCACTTGGCCATGTCTACATCTCATAGCTATCATTTAAAATTTATCAGTTACTACTAATTTTCTACAATAAATTCATTCGTGGACTAAAATATGTCCAAAGCCGGGTTTTTATTTTGATGCCACATCACTCACTTTTATTGAATGGTCAGTGGTGGAACAATTTTACAAATCTCCCGGGAGATATCACTAACTTAAAAAAAAAAAAAAAAAGAATATTTTTATAAAATCCTGGAAATATATTCGCATTTCAACTTTAAGCGTGTGATGATCACTCAATTAGTCAGCTTGCCCCCTACTTTACTTAATCGATAGGCAATTTGTTGATCATGGAAATAAAATAATAATAATAATAAAAAAAAAACTTTTTAGACACACTTGAAGAAAAAGGAACAAAATAATTCGCATTCACATGCTACTTGATTAACTAATCATTTATTAAAGTCCCTTTTGACATGGCATCTTGATATGGTTGTTAGTTTTTTATTGGGTTAATTGCTAAATAAATTTTAACCTTTTTTGCGTTTGCCAATTTTATTCTAATATTTGGGCAATTACAATATAATCTCGACTTCAATTTATTTATTGCAAATTTGGTTGCAGAGTGAATGATTTTAGGGATTTGTGGATCGATTTTGTGTCCAAGTCTTCTATTGACATGAGTTTTTATGTCATCCACGTAGCAAGTTGACAATTTCCACGTATTCAATGTATATCCATGCACGAAGCCGAAAATTCCACGTCAATGTAAGCTACCGGTGATGAGTATCCTCATAGATCTGGAGTGAACCGGTAAATATGAGTTCCGATCTATTCGAGCTGCCTTCAAATCGACCAGTTTTTTAAAGGTCCAATCAGTTTTAGGTTCGACTTGCAATAAGTAAATTGAGTTCGAGATTATATTGCAATTACCCAAAGATTGGGATAAAACTGCCGAACACAAAAAAATTACGTTTATTTAACAATTAACTATTTTTTATTCCAATAATAATAATAATATTGATAATAATAATAACATAAATTTCTTATTTTATCCGGCTAAACATTAGCCAATACATTGACCTCCCTAGCAAGCATCCTGAAGCAAAGAAAGATTGAGAGGGCGATTGTTTATAGTTTCAATAGTAAAAAAATTAATCAAAACTCAAATTTAACTCAACTTTAACCCAACTCCACTATCTATCATATTATCAATATAATTAAATAATATCAACCAATTATTTTTACACATCACATCAATTTTAATTCACTATTCATCCACTCACATAATTTTAACTAACCATCACTTCCAATCATTTTTCTCATACTTTACATCAAATCAACTTTAATTATTTTATTTAAAGATTATTTTAATACATCCACTAACAACTAACCATATCACTTTTTTCAAAGTTAACTATAATTAAAAACAAACCCAATAAAAACTAGTTGAATTCATAAACAATCACACCCTTAATAGCCCTCACCACAATGCCAATGCCCATAATCCTTACATCAGCGCCCCCGTCCTCATCCTTTACCAGGTGGAACCACTCCGTGTGCTTTTCTTTCAATTGCGTGCTTGCTGCTTGCGGGGCGGGATCTAACTCCACCGTGTTGCGCAGCCTTCGGCCGTGAGAGGAGAGGCTCGATTACATTGACCTCAGGATATGTTTCCGAGAAGGAAGTACCTATCCCCCAAGGATTTCTTGCTCTCTCCTTCTCTCTCCCCCTCATAATCGCGAATTGATCTGATATCCGAGATAAAAGCAGAGTTGGTGCGCTGCTCAATCTGAGTGGGCTCTTTGGGGTCACAATTTCTTTCTATCTGGCAGGACAAACAAATAGGAAGGGATGGTTCTTTCATTGCATTGATAGAAGAAGAACTAGAAAAAGATCTCTTTATTACTTTGAGAAGAGAATCGTTGGTTTGACCGACGAACTACGTGGGAAAATGGACCTTCTTTCCCTTGATGATGTATTTTTTTACAATTTTTTGGCTAATAGAGGCATCAAGTGGTATAAGTGCATTTGTTGGTATCTTGGAGGATTAAAAGCATGATTCTTGTTTTTCAATTGGCTGTTTTTGCAAGTTACTTCTTAAACGGTGAGGTCTTCTCTATACACCGGAGCCTTTAACTTCGATATTTTTGGTAACTTGTATAGTTCACACCACACTCTTTGGCTCTACCCACAAATTATCCAGTCGTTCAATTATCTTTTTCTTTTTCTCCTTTACCTTCGACCAAATTTCACGCCAATTTAAGTTAAAGATGAAATTGACGAAGCGAAGCGAAGTGAAGAAAAAGACTATACTTTAGAAGCGAAGCGAAGTGAAGGAAAGGAGGGGAGACGAAGTAGGTAGGGGGAGACGAAGTAGGTAGTCGACGTTTCCTTCTCTTCCAATGCACCTATATCAAGTTTGTTGTTCTTAGCAACCGGACTTTATGAGATTAGATGAGAATGTTGAAGGGGGGCTGGCGTGTAGCCAATGACTATTTTAGCTATGGAACCCGCCTGTCACCCAGCGGATAAAATACATTAATCGTCTGGGGATTGGCTACTTACCCATTCAGTCACTTTGGCACTCGACGTTCCCAAAAACATTTGAAATATTTATTTTATAAGAAGAATCGTATTCCAAGAAAGTATATATTCTTCTACTAAGACATTTCCCAAGATATGAACGCTGCTAAGAAAGAAGTTTAGTATCTAATTAGACTCCTAGTCATTTTAGTAAAATTAATTAAAAATCTTATATATATTTTTGTTATATTGTGTTTTAATGTATAAAACTTTAATTTGAAAATGTTTCCGTAACGAAACCGTAATATTTCCTTCAATGGGAGATGCTACAGTCTCGTTACGGAACAATTCTGTCAGGGCTTGTAACCGTTAGATTAACTATTATCGCCGGTTACATTATGATCTAGAGGTCACAAAATCTGACAAAATAGTTCTGCAACGAGACCATCGCATTTCCTTCAATATATCGTCTAAACTAACCGACTATTAGACATGTGCAACAATATATACTGTATTACTGATAATAATAGTAATAATAATAATAATAATAATAATAATAATAATAATAATAATAATAATAATAATAAATTAATAATAATATAACAATAATAATAATAATAATAATAAATTAATAATAATAATAACAATAATAATAATAATAATAATAATAATAATTTGTCCCAACCAAGAAAATACAAAACGATTATCTACCCATGTGTTGTCTTTTGTTAGCCATTCAATCTGTTGCACTACCACAGTACACTTCACCTGTCTTTCTTCTGAATGGTTCTCTCAAGCTGCAGAATACTGAATATTTTTCTATCTTAACTGGGCCGACGAAATTACGGGTAATTTTTTCCTTCAAAATTGTTGCCTTTTAGTTGTAGCCTTTATCGACTCTGTAAATTTATTCATCTGTTTTCATCCCCATATCATTGATGAGTGTGTTTGCAAAATCTTGAAGAAAAACGATGATTTTATTCTTATTTCAGCTAGAAAAGTTGATAAAAATCGAATCTTTAGCAGTTTTAGGGAAAAAAAAAAAAAAAAA